AATTCGACGTGATACAAGAAAAATCAAATCCGAACCGATCCGACAAAAAACCTGCAAAATCCGATCCGATCCGACAGAAACAAAACGAAATCCGATCCGATCCGAGTAATTTACTGTCCGAATCCGATCGGATTCGGATCGGATTCGCACACCTCTAGTCGAGAAGTCTTCTACCACTTCTCACCGCATGAAATGCAAGTGTTGCGTACAAGGTGTGAATATATTTTGTTTGCGGTTGGAAACAGAGCGAGGACGTCTACTTTTCTACACGATCATGAATTTCATTGTATAGCTAAATGTCTCTAGAGATTCAATCCATATATACGAGGCTATAAATGGACAGCGAGATTTTCAAAATAATGAAAAGACAATGGAACAATCCGATCAATGACTCATGACTGGATGGCATGGAAAACAGTGGGATTTTCAAAACAATGAAAACCGCGGTCAAGCAAAGTTTTCAGCTTGCCCAGTGCGGACACACTCAGAGACAACTTCGCAAACATACTTCTTCACCTAAGTGCATAACATCAGAAACAGAAAAATTCAATGAAAAGACATTGGAACATTTTGATCACTGGATCAGATGATATGGAGAACAGTGGGATTTTCAAAACAATGAAAAGACTTTGGAACATGAAACACTTGATGGCACATAATGAAAAAATAATAAAGAAAAACCGTTAAAACGATCAACTTTCTTGATTATATAAATAGCTTAATAATAATATATGCGCATTATATACGTGTCTTATATAATATATATATATCTATATCTTAACGAAGCAACGCGAAGCGAAAACACAATTTGTTATACACAATGGGGCCATTTAGGGGCTGTTCATATGAGCCGAGCCAGCCCGGCTGACCGGGATAGATCGTGTCACGAAATTATTTTCCTGACCATAAACAATTGTTTATTATTAAAACCTTTTGTTCTCCATACAGAGTTTGTTTGTTTTCTAAGGCGACGCTTTCAGTTTACGTCGTGATTTCTAAATCAGTCTATTACAAGAATCATCCCGGTTCACCGGGCCAGCCAGGCTTCGTGTGAACAGCCCTTTATACGAGAGAAAATCAGCCGCGGCTTAAAGATGATGTCCACTCCTGTGCACATGCGCAAACTTTGTTTACGTTTTGAACTGGTATATTTGTAAAATATGATATACTACATACATATACATACATACATACATACTATTCAATATCTAACACTTTTCTGGTTCGCAAAACTTGTAAATGAATATAAACTATACGTTTCAATTCAAAAAAGTTCGAAAGATGCAAAATTTGGGCAATGTTTATATCAGGGGGTCCCCCTTTGTTATGAGCAGAACTGATGCGCAGAACGGAGTGGACATCATCTTTAAATAAAGTCGTGAACGACTTAAGCCTGCCGCACACAAGAGAAAGTTGCTGAGCTAACCGCCTCGCCTGGCGGCTAGCTCAGCTATGCATTTTCACCGCACACGTTGAGAAAACTACTCAACAACAACACAACTGATAAAATCGTTTGCATTTTCCTCCATTTTGTTCCAAGTCACATGAAGAAACTATGGTTTCTCATTGGCTAATTGATTCAAGCAGCTCAGCATTATTAAAACTCACAATATCCGCCGACGTTGAGTTTTTTCCTCGCGAGGTGAAAAAGATCAAACATGATAGATAAATTCCTCTAGGCCTCGAGAGGGGTAAAATCCTTACGAAAACTATCCGCACACGAGAGGAACTTGCTGAGCTAGCTGCCACGCGAGGCGGTTAGCTCAGCATGTTTATCTCGTATGCGGCAGGCTTATTGCAAATTTGACTATTTATATATACGAGTCGTTCGCGACTTATTTAAGCCTCGGCTTATTTTCGTTCGTATAAATGTCGCTAATATGAAAATGTTTAAAAGATCTCAACATATATATACGAGGAATGTGTGTCAACATCTTATGTCTATATAATTTAAAGCACTGTTAGTATTTATGGCCATTGAAACGGGGGAACGTTCCTCGACGTTTATCAATATTTTAACACTGACTGTAGAAACAATAGGCAGATACTTTTTCAATTCATCTTTTGCACGGAGGGATATAAAATAAAAACAACTTGGCGGCAGAAAACCATTGAACCCTGAAGCAGCAGACAGTGTATAAGCTCCCATTTCTTTAAAGTACAGCCAGTCCCCAATATTGCATTCAGGTAGCATTATATTCTTAGCTACACAATCCATTGAGTCACAACTCGGGCCCCAAATGCTTGATGGGAATTTTTCGTCGTTGCTATGGTAGTCACGTAATGGTATGGCTTCCACGGTAGAATGATCAAAGATTAGGCAATTAAATGAGCCGTACACCCCTTCGTTGATGTAGTACATAAAACCCTATATGAATAAATGCTAGGGTTAGGATCACGAGTTAGGATCAAAGAAGATTATGGATTAAGGTTTAGGATTAAGGGTTCGAATTACTTACTTTTGTAGTCTTGTGTTGCAAATGATTACCTATATTAAAACATTTCCAAATAAAACATTAATATTTGTTTGGGTTTTATTCAGAGTTGGACCGTTTGTCAACTGCAGACTTTACGCTTCCTCGTCATCATTGTGTTATGCTCATTTGAACAAATTCCCATTCTACGCTCTGCGCAACCATCAACGCTTTTTAAGACTCTGAAAAGGACCTAAAGTACCGACTGGTACTCTTCCTGAAATCAACGTTGGCTCAGCAGTCGATTAAAGGATCATCGACGCGCTCCCTCCGCCAGAAAAGCAGCAAAACAGTACCGCGCATTTTAACCCGAAAACCACATGATCCTATCGCTCTATTGAGAATAGTCCCTATGGCATTTTAAGGCTTTTCTGTTACATGTATATTTCTATTAACATTCCCTGGTATGACAGCAAATTTTACTGCATTTAAACTTTCGAAGACATGATTGAGTTTCAAAACTCAATTCAAGATTGAGTTTTTGGGTCCGTTTAACGGCCTCAAACAAAGCCTGAAAAAAGCCCGATCCATCTCTGTGTCAATTAGTCTTTTAGTGTAAACTGTGTAGTCATACAGTCATTAATACATTGATAGGTTGTAATAGAAAAATACATTCTATATATTACATGTCTACAAGCATGACGTTAACTTCAGAGGGAACGTCGTGAACCCTAACATCCCAGGGTGAGTGGGAAATGCATCTCCACTGAAATCCCCACCACCACCATTTGCACCAAAATGTGGCCTAACTACTGTAATGTGGCCTAACTACTGTATCAACAAAGACAACAACATTTAAAATTTGAATACCAAGGGTAGAAAAAGTATCGGACCATGAGACATTGGTCCCAGAAAATGTTTTGAATTCCCAGAAAATATTTCCACAGGAAAGAAAAAAGATAATTGTAAAAATTTACATAAAAGGAGAAATTCAGTTATGACCTTAGAAATGCAATTATATAAGTGCATCCATCTTAATATTGCATTAGTGTATAAATGTATGCACTATTGTATGGCAAATGCATTTTTAACCAATAAGGGGAGCATGCCCACAGAACCCTCTAGTAGTGCCCCCTAGTGGTACTCTTTTTGGCATCTGTAAATTTACCTTAGGATCTGACTCCTGCTGCATGTTATCTAAATTAGTTTTATCTTATATTCCTGAAAAGTATTATTAAGATTCTCAGTGCATTAAGAATTAATTTTTTTCTATTAGAATATAGCATGACATTCAGTTTGAAAACTTGTCAACAGTTACAGTGTCCAAGTGTCGACTTTTTCAATGAATCTCTTGCGGTCCAAGAAAGTAAAAACATTTTTCCACCCCTGGTGGATACACTGACCTTTATTATCACTAAGCTCCAACTTTGTTTCTCGTCTAGATGTCACGTTGGCGACTAAAGTGAATGCCGTGCTGACATAAAAACGCCCAGGTTCCGCAATGATTCGAACACCAGAACTCGATGGAAAACAATCATCTATTGTATTGTTCAATACAGAACAAACCTACACCAAAAGAAATTTTTAAGGTTAAGCTTCACACCGCGTCATCAATCATTTAAATTTGTCTTTGGGCTATTCCATATGAGAAGTAAGAAAATCACATTTTTTTTTAAAACAATAAAATATATGTGTGCAACAACTTATATCATTCATGAAAGATTATGAGTTGAAATGAACAAAATTTATCTTTGTTGGTTATATTTAGGCCATACCCTCCCTCTTGGGATTCTATAACTCAGTCTACATAAAATAAAATTTGGTTGCAAACACTAAATTCGAACATGAAACGTTCTGGGTAGTTCTTTAAGGAGCCACAGTTTGGTTTCCTGTTCCATCAGTGATATAGCAACACCTATTAGTCGTAGTTTCAGGAACACTAGCAAAATTCATAATTCGTGCAATGACAAGACATTTTTGTCCGATTAGGTACAACGCGCACTGTAATGTCCGTAACATTTTGTGTAATGTCTGCAACACACATTTTCACAAATAAAAATTGTACGAGTGAAATAGACTGACTGTAATATACAAATGTAATATTGTATTACTATACTATGACTTGTTGTCCGTTTTAATAAAGTAGTGATTGTTTTTCGACCATTTGAGATTCACAGAAATTAAGATTTAACGAATGGTTGTTTTAGCTGTAATGTCCATAACAACTCTTCAAACCAATTGACTAACACCATTTATAAAGATCTATACCAGTGTATTTCGCTTTGCATCACAAAGGGTTAGCCTTAGGTACCACGAGGCTAATAAAACTCGAAAATGTTATAACTACTTTATGAGGAGTAGAAAGAAAATGTAGCAAAATGGTGTGTAGATGTAATGTCCGTAACGGTGAAATGACCCTTTACTGACCTCTTCGAAACAGATATCTTTGCTGGCTGAACCAGGAAAGCCTCCTCCGACATCCAAGAGTGAAAAAGCAAACCCAATATCCATCTAAGAAATTATATGCACCCTGATTAAAACTTTCCTGGTCAAACTAAAAACAACCCTGTTTCGCAGGCTTCGAAATAAATCTGGAGAGTGTGGGGCCGGTTGTATAAGTATAGGTAATAGCATGGTTTCGAGTGCAATTTGGATATAACATGCACGAGTGAGTTTTTCAAAGACCTCGAAATAGCACGAGTCCGAAGGACGAGTGCTATTTGAGGTCTTTGAAAAACTCACGAGTGCATGTTTATCCAAATTTCACGAGAAACCATGCTATTACTTATTAATAATTTACATAAAAATGTTCGAGACAATTGTAGTTTTAACTTACGCGTTTATAGCGAACATTCCACTGGTAAAGTTTTTCCTGGCTTTGTTATATCACATTATGCAACGCTAACAGCTTGAAAATTCCATCTAACTATGTAATTTTTGTTAGTCTTGTTTAAGGTAATTGCTTTTCCATTTAAAAATAAAGATAAAGCTATATTTTCCACGCGAAGGCAACTTTTACTTTGTGTAGCGCGGCGCCATGTTTGTTTTGTTTGGAAGCAATCTGTGACCGTTACTTCTTTAAATTATAAATTTCTTTAAACTGATTGGTTGATTTAATCATCACAATGTTTTTCCACCAATCAGATCAGTTTGTTACAGATTTTTGCACTGTGATTACAGAAAATTGCACTGTGATTACAAAAAATTGCACTGTGATTACAAAAAATTGCACTGTGATTACAGAAAATTGCACTGCTGTTTGGGATTAACTGCACTGAAATCAACCAATCACAGTCGAGTAATATCTTTATGTATATTATTAAACTCTTAATAAATCACTTTTTAAATCACTATTTTGTAGTTAAATAGGGATTAACTCTCAAATACGCGCTTTAAGCACTTTTTTTATACAACCGGCGCCATCATAACCGGTGGATTATGAAATTTACCGGTCACAACGGAATCTTTGCCAGTCATCTTCTGTTTTCCTTACACTTCATAATTATTCTGAAGAAAATGCTCACTTCGTTAAACGAGAATAACGAAAAGAAAAATTATAGACGTTAAAGAGAAAAATTCGTGTACAGTACATATTATGAAATTTAGCCTGCGAACAGGCTCTCAAACTGAATTGAGAGCCTGCATCGATGACTAATGAATTTGAATATCTGCGTCTCAAATCGTGACGCGAAATTCTCATTGGTCAGATCACGGTTAATAGGTCAGATGCTATAATTTATATGTTTCCGCTGAGCTCTATATATGTCAACTGCTGAAGCACTATGCATAAAAAACACATTAACTGATCAAATTGGTCTTGGCCATCTTTCTCAAAGCACGAAATGTTCTGTTTTGAGAAAACAGTATTTAAAACATTTGAACTTTTGCTTGAATATCTTATATTTCGAAAAACAGTATAAACTGTACGGTCTAAATTTAGTTTGCACGGGCTAAATTTAGTTTGCACGAAAGTTGTAAACAACACCATATAAGGATAGACATTCCATATTTGGAAAAACGAACGTTACGGGGCAGATATTCAAATTCATTAGTCATCGATGCAGGCTCTCAATTCAGCTTGAGAGCCTGTTCGCAGGCTATATGAAATTTTGTATAAAATACGGTCACCGTGCAATTTACACAAGAATATTTAGTATTTGGATGACAAGCAAAACAGTTGTTTGCCATAGCATATCTGAGCCCCAAAGTTTTAATGACAAATGAAAGTTGGGAAATGAAAATCCATTCGTGTATGCATTTTTTCCATAATTTATTGAGCTCTGGAATGTTAATAATGAAATATTAAGTTCATTAAACTAAAAATTATGTGGTATACTTACCGCCCAATCAAAGACGAGCCTGGCAGATTCCACAGCAGTCTTGAAAGCTGTTGCATCGAAGCAACCACTGCCAACGTGGAAACTAAACACATCAATAACGGTCTTTTTATGCATGAGCAAATATTACAATGTGTATGTTAATATATAGTTTATAGTTTTAAACAGAATGACTCTGAAAAAGAATTCCTCAACGTTTCCACGTATGGAAAACTCAGTGAGGGCAAGTTTGTCTTCATTGTCATTTTTATAAAACATTCTTAGGTTAAGACATACTGCAACTAATAGTCATGGAGTTATCCAGAAATCCCACTCTTTTCCAGGTCGGCTTTTACTCAAGTTTATAGTATTTATCAAGCTTACCTCACTCCAACGACATTCAGGTCAAGCTGTTTGGCAACTTTGAGAAGATGTTGACACTGATCGAGGGCGGCTCCGTACTTGATGCCAAGCTAAAGGTTGACAAAGTTGCAATTAAAATATATATTATTCATTAAACACAAATGTGATAAATGTGATTCTGTTAGTACCTGACAAAGTGATCTTGAATCATCAGTAAGTATTCGTAGTAACAATCTGAAATGCAACATTTTTCACAAAATATTAGGAGGGTTTTTTCTTTTTCATTTATTGTATACTAACCCATTAAGTTGCATTGCTTCCAATGCCCCCCATTTTATTATTTTACTCTGTCTAATACCAGACATAAAACAGATTTATATACCAACAAATCCTACGAAGATTTTCATTCTTTAATTTAATCGAGTACCATGTCTTCATTTTACTAATACCGAGGTGCTCTTTTCATTTCTGGTGTTCGTTTTGACGCAGCCGCTCGTTCTAAAGGGGAATGGGTGATTCCAGCCAAGACTAAATTTTGATCAAGGCAAGAAGAACAAAATCCAACATCACAGCTAGAAAGAGCGTCTTAGAATGAGTAAAACTGCAAAGATTGGTTGCTAAATGTTGTAAAATGAAGAAAATATAACCTTGTGAAGTTCGCAAATTTTGTATATAGTCGTATTACGCTCGGTAAAAATAACCACTTTCGGCTCACAAATGGTTAATATTTTTCCCGCGCGTAATGCAAATACAGGGTGTATCAAAAAAAACTGAACAGATTTAAAATTGCTCTCAATTTCGCAAAACAGCTATTTGTATCTGTTTTTTTATATATATAGCTTCTTTGGGTACTTATAATGTAAAATAATGAAAAAAATTTCTCGAACTCAAATTTTGTGAACCAGGGGGGGGTGTCTTTTCCAACAAACTAAAAATGGCTCGCGCACAAAATTTAAAAGCTGCAATCATATTTTTAGTTAACAGATGGAAAATTTGTCGGGATTTTAATTACTGTACAAAATTTCAGACAATTTGGTTTAGTTTAAGCCCCTTAACTATTCACGCAAAGTTACAATTTTCCCGAAAAATCAGCTATTTGCATGCTTAATTAATGCATTTGCCTAATTTGCATATGTCAGCAATATGCAAATTAGGTAAAGGCATTAATTAAGCATGTGAAAGGCTGACTTTTTAGAACAAAATGAATAGTTAAAGGATTAAACTAAACCAAATTGTCTGAAATTTTGTACAGTAATTAAAAACCCGACAAATTTTTAATCTGTTAACTCAAAATATGATTACAGCTTTTAAATTTTGTGCGCGAGCCATTTTTAGTTTGTTGGAAAAGACACACCCCCCTGGTTCACAAAATTTGAGTTTGAGAAATTTTTTTCATTATTTTACATTGTAAGTACCCAAAGAAGCTATATATATAAAAAACAGATACAAATAGGTGTTTTGCGAAATTGAGAGCAATTTCAAATCTGTTCAGTTTTTTTTTATACACCCTGTATATTGACAATGTTGGGCAAGTTAGATAGATCAGGATGAGAAAAAAATATATTCAATTCAATTCAAAAGTCTTTTTAATAGATCAAAAGATAAAAATACATATCTTATGTTACAAGTACATATTAAGAATACATTAGTAAAGTTTACATCATATGAATAGGTTATAGTTAAAAATTAATCTATTTGCAAACGACAATTTAAAACGTTCCGTGTTCACTCTTGGATACTGACTAAACTCTGTCCTCAAAGAGTAGCTTGTGGATTTTTTTCTTGGTATCAAGTCGACTATGGCACTCTTCTGATTTACAGAAGCCTTAAAAATATTTCTGTCTTGTATTTCTAAAAGATATCTAATATTTACAGGTTCTGATATATACTTTCGCTTAAAACATCTGTCAAAAAACCGTTGTAGAGTATTGAGTTCGGCTGGAGAAGAACCGTAGACGGACAGGCCAAACGTTATAGTAGATATTACTAGGGTCTTAAATAGATAATCTATCTCACATTGGCTATAGCCTTCTGCCCTGAGTGTTCGTATAACGTACAAGCATTTGTTTGCTTTGACCAATTTACCTCGCACATGACTGGTGAACTTGAGATTGTCTTGAAAAGTAGTACCTAAAATGGGAAGTTCTTTGCATTGGGGTATATTATAAACATTGTCAAGTTGATCATTATATCCCTTCTTCCGGATGATAAGCTCTTTACATTTACCAGGGTTACAAGTCATAAAATTATCATCAGACCAGCTCAGGAATTGTCCAACTGTATCTGTTGATGTATCAGGACCCTCACTCCAAACTGGCACTATTATATTTGAATCGTCCGCATATTTAAAAAGAGCGTTCTCGCCGTCTATGTCCACCTCTAAATCATTTAGGAAAATATTAAAAAGGTAGGGGCCACTTACGCTCCCCTGTGTTGTACCCTTATTAACATCCATCCATTCTCCACAAAAATCGTTACAAACGACTCTTTGCTTTCTATTCTTTAGAAAATTTAAATACCAATTTATGATATAAGGGTTGAGTGGCACAGTTTTTAACTTTTCCGAGAGGAGTGAATGTTTCACTGAGTCGAAAGCCTTGCTAAAATCCATAGAAAACAGTCTAACTGCTTTGCAGTTCGCTCTATCTAAGAAGCTGAGTACTTTGTTCTGAATAGTTAACAGAGCGTTTGTACAACTCCCCCCCTGCCTGTACGCAAATTGCGTTGGGGATAAAATTTCCTCAACTGTCGACTTGACCTGACTATTATAAACGAGCTTTTCGAAGGTCCTCGCAATTACAGGTGTAATATTTATTCCACGAAAGTCACCATCTTCCTTTGGTAAATCAACCTTTGCAAGAGGGTTAATATTCGCTCTTTTCCATGAATCTGGCCAAGTATGTGATGAAAGGGACAAATTCCAGACGTTAGTTATAACTTCGGTTAGAATTTCCGCATGATCATTCCAAACCCAATAGGGAATATAATCGGGACCTGTTGCTGTCCTCTTTATTCTTTTCAAGGCATTCCATACCTGCTGTTCCGTAAAGCTAGGAATATCTACTTCATCACCAATAATTGAGAGCGTCGGTTCGACATAACTATCATCGTGGCAGAGTTCGCCAAAGTAGCGATTTAATCTTGTAAGTGATGCATTATCTAAAGTAACTCTTGATGACGATGCATTTCGCTGAGAAATATCATTCGTCTTTCTCCACCAAGTTCTACTTCCCACCAAGGCCCTAAAATTTCTTCTGTTTTGACAAATGACATCAGAAATCCTTTTGTTAATTAAACTGAGTCTATCCTTTTGCGACCGAGCAATTCTGGATTTAGATTTTATCAAAGATTTAATTAAAGGACTCATCCAGTAAGGGTCACGTGACGAAATTGAGACTGTTTTTGTGGGCATACATTTATTCATATGATCCATGATCTTACGTTCAAGACAATTCACAGCGTCATTTACATTTGTGGACTGCGATACATCCTCCCAATCTTCTTCTGCTAAAGCTTTGTGGAAATCTTCCTTTCGATGCTTTCTACAATCCCGAAATTCAACCTTTCAGCGCATAGGTTTTAGTTTCGTCCCTGCTGGTAAAATAACCCCCATGTGGTCTGTTTTAGTTAACATGTGGAAAGGATAACATTTTGAGAACAAATCTATTCTATTTGTAAGGCAGTTATCCAAACATGCGTTACCCCTTGTTGAAAAGTCGACCATTGCATCCCATCCTGATAGTTCCTCAAGGTGTTTTATGTCCAAACTGTTCAAATCCCCTCCACAAACAATTACAGTGTCTGGATATTTGTCCAGAACGTCGTCAGAAATATTTATCAAATAATCCAATAAGTCGCTCTCCAGATAATTGTGCCTAGGTGGGTGATAAAGGCCATATATCGACATGCGGTTTCCTGTAGGTAACAGAAGTGTGACACCAATAAGTTCGTACAAACTGGATCGATAAATATCAATAACTTTTAAGTTGTTCCGAACATATATTGCTACCCCTCCTTTTGCTCTCATATCGCGTCCTTCCCAACTTCTATCTCTTCTAAATATTGAATAATTGTGAATGGTCACCACAGCATCTGGCATTTCAGGTTTCAGGTGACTCTCGCTCACCACACATACATCTATATCGTTATTGACCAAGTCTGCCTCCAGTGCAACTACAGCTCGTACTCGATTTTTTGTTTTTGCCAGACTACATATGTTGATAAACATAAACTTAGGAACAGCAAAACCCGACTCTCTCGAAGGAACTTTTCTTGTGGATGTTAAATTAATTGGAATTAATGCCTTGTAATTGGGAACACGTGATGTAACAGGATATTTCTTTTTTCTCGGTTGCGCAATGGTTGGTATCGGTTGTTGTATTGTATAATCATTTTCATGGTTATTGGTTTTTGCACAGATTTGCGCTAAACCAATGTTTCTATTCGTTGTAAAGGAAATGAAGGATGGCGGGGTAACTTGGGTGGATTTGTCACTGTCATGCGAACAAAGTTTAGATATGCTTGCCACTCCTTCATAATATTCCCAGGTTTTGTCCATGGATAATGAAACCGGGGGGCTTGTTGAAAAGGGCACGGATAAATATGTTTCTCATTTGCTTGGTTTCTCGCAGTCTGCATAGAAGCGGGTCTTCTATTATATTTATTGGTATAGTTGCCATTATGTACCTGTTGGTTCTTCCGGTATTTACTATTTCCTCGGATGGTTTTCATTTTAGCGTTTGATGGGACACGGTACGTAATCCTAGTTGGAATAGGTTGGGATTCTTTATGGGTAGGGGGAATAACTTTACTGGACCTGGTCAATCGGTGGTTCGATGGCTCAATGTTTTCATTAGCTTTGGGAGGCATGCATTCTTTAGCTGGTAAGGGCTTACGTTTTGGATTGTTTCCCTTGTCGCAGACAACCGCCGGTTGATTATTTAAAGAGGGACTGCAAAATACGGCAGTTTCACTAGAGCCCTCCATGGGGACACATACTTGGTGGTTATTTACTAGGGAGCTGATAGTAGAACCATTAGTTGCGCTAGGGGCTTCGTTTGAGACAGTTGAGGGCAGGTAATATGATAGGGTGCTACTAATAACATCATTGGTTTCAGCGTTTTTAATAACGTTATTAGATTTATTCTTAGGAAACGCTTTTTGTTCGAGTTCCGCCAGGCGTGACTTTAGATTTAAATTTTCACTGGTCAATTTACATATATCCTGTTTACATCTGTCAATGGTTTCCCTCTGCTCCGAAAGTTCGAAAATCAAGGCTTCGACCTTAGATTCAAACTCCCTTTTGAAAGTGCCAAAAAGTTTCTCTATAGCAGGCGAGTTGTCATCAACACTCGGGCGAGACGGGGTAGAACAATCAAAGGTTCGGGTAGAAGATAAATTGGCATTATCACTTAGCGGCAATATATTTTGATATGAAAAGTCGATAAAGTCTTGTAGATCTTCAAGGGTTGAGCAATCTGATGTTGTTTCTGTTACCTCGCTTTTAGATCTAGTATTGTCGCTAATCATAGATATTTTAGCTGTTTTGGCCACGGTTTGACTTGCATATAACAGGTTATCATTGTTTGAAGCACAAAGGATAGATTCATGACTAACTATACTGTCCGTAAACAAGTCAGAACTCTTACTTGATTGATTTAATATAACCTCTTTCAAACGGTTACCTTCTTGGCCTTGAAATAACAAAGATTTCTTGTTGGTGTAATATGTAATAGTTATTTTATCGTTTCGAAATGCCTTTGCTGAGCCTCTCGGCGAACTCCATTTCCCATCGGCACCAAACAAATCAAATATCAAACATTTCAGTTCGTCAAAATTTCCTAGCCATTTAATTTTCTTGTCAGGTTGCACTTGGAAGTATTCTTTATACTTTAACAAATTCTCGTAGGTTTTGTTGTTAGTTTCGTTCGCACAAACGTTGAGTATTTCACAAGGATCAACAACGACCGCCATGATTAACACGTAAGTGTCATCGAATGAACTCATGGTATCGTCAGCAAATAAGACCAATTCCAAGGCATCTGAGGCATTGCAAATATCATTAATATATATCAGAAATAGTAATGGCCCAAGCACAGACCCTTGAGGTACTCCACATCTTATAGTATTAAACGAGGATGTTACCCCATTGCATTGAACATATTGTTGTCTGTTTGAAAAATAATTTCTTAGCCAATTAAGTGCCAGGCCACGAATTCCATAATGATTGAGTTTTTCGAAGAGAATTTCATGATTTATAGTATCAAATGCCTTTGAGAGG